CCGCCCTTGCGCGTCGCTTCCTCTCCTTCTCCCCCCCCTCCCCGCTCGCCCTGGCTCAACATGGCGCTCGGAGCGCTTCCGCCAGTGCTGAGATTCTTCTCTTCCGTTACCCCAGCCGGGCAGCCAAGCCGCAAAGGTTGGGGACCTAGAGAGGCAAGAATGCCTCTGAGAGAGTGCAGAGTGCATCTAGTTTATTACATCCCTGAGTTAACCCCTCTGTCTTCATGGAGGACTGAATCAATGAACCCTGCAAGTTTTATATCAGAGGTTTTCAAACTTGGCCCTTTTATGGCTTGTGGACTTCAGCTCCCGGAATTCCTCAGCCAGGCACGCCTGGCTGAGGAATTCTGGGAGTTGAAGTCCACAAGTCTTAAAAGGGCCAAGTTTGAAGACCCTGTTTTATATGATTTTTACCTGCTGGAGGGCTGTATCTTGCTGTGTTAGAATTCACATTGTATTTTTTTATCCTTAGCTTGCAGATTTTCAAGCCATAGGTCCTCAACTTGACGCACTATTTATTTGCATAATTCAGGGTTAGATTGATTAAATTTTAGACCTAACGTTATAAACAAGTTCTTGCTGCAGAAGGAGAAATGAACCAGGAAGCCTTATGTCCCAGAGAAAGGAACTGCAAAGTTTTCCCCGAATACCTGAACTGTCAGTATGTGACTTGTAAGGTTTAAAGTTTGCTTCTTTCTTTTTCCCCACCCTTATTTTTTCTATCTTGACAACGCTAAGTTCACTAAGTTCAGTGGAATTTGCTTCCTTAGAAATCGGGATAAGATTTATTACCCTGTCGGACAAGTTTTGTGTAGCACCTGGAACATTTTCAGAAATGCTACCGCTGTATGAATATGATTTAAAAGCAATAACACATTGACTTGGGAGAGAAATCAAATCTTAATTTTGGTTCATTACAAAGCCAGCCAGTTGTTTAGACTGGATTTGGTCCGCCCATTTGTCTACAATCAAGTCCCAAGGACCTGGAATACGCAGATGGGGATGGTGTTAAAGATATCATCGCAGGATGTCATCTGCTTAGAGTAAAGCTGCCTTTTGCAATTGACCAATGGTGAATTTGTCAATGCCGATGGTGTTTAAGTGATGGTCCAATTGTTTTGGGATTGCAAAGACCCTTCCCCCCCCCCATGCCATCACTCTCCTGAACACCCACAACAGTGTCTATGCCTGGCTGAGGAATTCTGGGAGTTGAAGTCCACAAGTCATAAAAGGGCCAAGTTTGAAGACCCCTGGTCTATGCCCTAGGAACCACCTAGTACCATCCGTAGGTCTGTATATTACCTATTATCCTTCTCATCTTCTCATCTGTCCTATTACCTATTTCCTTAGCTTCTTATGACTATCACTTTGTTGTTTGTATCTCACGATTATGTCGATTGCCTTTATTTCGTATCCTATTACGATTTGTGTCGTTTACCTATTTAGTATCCTATGACTATCACTGAGTGTTGTATTTTATTATTTATGATGATCTTGATTTATCAAGTGTACGTACACCTTACAAGCTTTTGCATGGGAGACAAATTCCTTGTGTGTGTCCAATCACCCTTAGCCAATAAAGAATTCTGCTCTATTCTATTCCTCTATAGGTTTTTCTGAAGTTTCTATATATCCCTTTCTAGGCAGGTCTTTGGTCCACAGGTAAAGACCGCCCCCTCTCGCCCCCCCTTCCCACCCAGCTCCTACTTCCGAGTGTGACGTTTGCACTAATTAACATAAGATCCCAGAAGCCTTTGCAGCATGGGATCCGCTTGGGAGTGGGAAATAGGGGCGCCTTTTTCCTTCCACCGTGCAAAAATAAGAGTGCACAATACGTTGGTGTGTAGGACATAGAGCGGGCAATCACTCTTATAATACTGGGTTGGGGGCTCACCGTGGTGTGATTCGTGGTTGCGTGGTTGGGCACGAAAAAAATGGCTACAATGTAGCCAGCTTTGCGCAGTGGCAGTATCGTAGCCAATGAGGTTTATCCGAGGCGCGATTATTGCTAATTGAAAACTTTTCCCAATACCCCGCCATGACGACTTGAAATATAGTCGGCATTGGCAATTTTTGACAGTCTCTACGGAGACTGATACTTGTGGTTTAAAAACAGAAGAAGAAGAAAAAATGAGAGCTAGCTCCTTGGAAGTGATTTAGAAGCGTTTGCTTAAAAGAGTTAAACGACGTGTTTTGACCTTAGCAGCTTTTAAGATGGGTGGACTTCTAAGCCAGGTTTTCATGCCTGGGGAATTCTGGGAGTTGAAGTCCGCCCATCTTCCAAGTTGCCAATGGAATGGCATCAAATCGCCCTGGTAGGGGGGGACAGCATGTAATTTCCAGAGCCAGTACCCCAAAAACGAATCCATTGGATGCGGCATCAACAGGTGATCCCACCAACAGGTGATCCCAGGGCGTGGGCTGGAGAAAGAAAACGGGAAGCACAGGTCTGTGAAAAGGGCCACGTCGGGTACTTGGTTAAGCACGTGCAAACGTGCAAGCCGTGTTTTCCCACCTGGGCAACTTTCCAGACGGTGGGACTTCATCTCCCAGAATTCCCCAGCCAGCAATGGCTGGCTGAGGGATTCTGGGAGTTGAAGTCCACAAGTCACAATGCGGACAAAGATTGGAGACCCCCTGCTCTAGAGAGCATCGAACCCAAGCGAGATCCTGCGGAAGTTCGCGCATTCCCCACCGCGGGGGGGGGGGAGGCTGACTTCGCCTCCCCCTGCGCTTCCCACGCAAGGCCGCTAGGGGGCGCCGGCGCCGCAGAGACGCCGCGAGGCCTCCTTTCCCCCCCTCCCCTCCGCGATCCAGCTCGGGCAGCTGGCGCCCGCGCGGCGGGGGCGGGCCTCGGTGGGCTCGCGGGCACGCGCGCGCGGGCTCCCGGAGCGGCAGCAGCGGCTCCAGTCGGGGCGGCGGCAGCAGCAGCAGCAGCAACATGGACGATCTGGGTGAGCCACGCGCCAACGGGGCTACCCCCTCCCCTTACTTTCTTTTTTGGGGGGTGGGTGGGAGGGGGCTTTTGCTGCTGTTGCTGCTTTCTTGGCCATCTCTCCTTCTCCCCCCCCTCCCTCGCCTTTCTTTGGAACCTCTTTACTTTGTTCTCTTTTGGGGGAGGGTCCTCCTCGCCTCTTCCTTTGCTGCCTTTAATTGGGGAGGGGGATCCCTCTTTGGGTCGGAGGGTTAGGGTCCACCCCTCCCTAGTTTCTCCCTTTGTGGGCCGCTTCCTGCACTTTTTCAAGTGGGTTTCCTTTCCGGGCGGGGGGGATCGGATTGGTTACTCTTCTATCCCTCCCCCGATCCCTTTCGCGGGGAGGCGGCCGCCTCGCTAAAAAGGAAAAAAAAGGAAAAAAAAGAACCCTACTTTAAGGTGTTGGGAGAAACCTCACTTCCGTTCCGTTTTGGGACGCTCGCTCTCCCATAAATTCCTAAATGGACTTTTTTTAAACGGGGTCCCGTGTCTTGCGTCTCCTGCTTTGCTTTTTTGGGGGGGGGCGTCCATGTAGGTCCCCAAACTTCTCCTCTTCCTCTTTTTTCCCCCGTTCTTCTCTTTGGAGTTCAGTTTAAAGGATCAAACGGGTTTCCGCCCCTTCCTCTCCACCTGCCATGCGGACCCCCCCTCCATGAAGTCTCTCTTTGCCTCCACACACACCCCAACTTGGCTTCAAGTTCACATATTTTGCCCTCCCCCCTCGGATTGCTCTCCCTCTTTCAGCCCCCTTCCCCCTTTTTCTTTTTGCTTCAGGCTGACTCGGGTTCACACAACGCGCTAAACTCCAGACGTGGGTTAGGCGTTCAGATACTCCTATATCGTGAGTGTACCCTCAAATCAAGAAATAATATTACACCAGTTTTGAGGGCTGGCTCCCCCCTCCCACCCTCATTCTACCAGCAGCTGGCAGTTTCCAAACTGTCTGTAAAAGTCCCTAAATCCAGTTTAGGCTTATAGAATCGTAGGGCTGGAAGAGACCCCCAGAGGTCATCTAGTCCAACCTCCTGCTTGAGCAGAAGAATATATCATTCCGGAGAAAAGGTTTTCCAATCTCTTCTTGAAAACCTCCAGCAATGGGGCACCCACAACTTCTGAAGGCAAGCCCTTCCACCGATTAATTGTTCTCACTGCCAGAGGGTGTTGTGTAAACCCCACCAAGGCTGACTTTTTTTTAACCCGTTGTTCCTCCAGGCCCCCTCCTCTAACTGATGCCTTTGATCACAACATCCATCGTCCTCCACAACATCCAACTCCCTCCCAGGCTGATGATGCCTTCCGCCGCAAACTCTTTAAAAAGTATCTCTTTCACAGTCATAATATTTAGGCATGACTTAAGCTTGCTTTTATATACATTGAATTCTTTTTCCCCCCTTTTCCTAGTGTTTATGTATCCCTAAGGAATAGGAAGCTATTAGCAAGGAAGCTACATTAAAAAGAATCAAAAGCACAAGTTTTTGCTAGAATACAAAGTTGCCAACAAAAGGTTGGTGTGTTCCCAGGTTGGTTTTGTAACATCCAGCTTACAAAAGAACATTTTTTTAAAAAGAGTGGAAGAGTGGCTTGTTGCTTGGAGCAACGCTCTCCGTAGTTCTTTTCTTTTTAAGGACAGGAAATTTTCCTTAAAATGAAGCGCCTCTTGTGACTTGTAGCAATCTCCTATAGCCAGGGTCCCCAATCTTGGCCACTTTATGACTTGTGGACTTCAACTCCCAGAATTCCTCAGCCAAAAGCTGTAATGCTATCCAGTATGGTCCTTTGGCTTATTGTTTATGGCATTTTAGATAGGCACAATTTTTAAAAACATTCCTTCTCTCTGTCTACAGTTGTACTATTTTTCCTGCATGCCGTCCTGCCATTATTTTTTTTAAAGCAACATCTGCTTTATCTCTGGGATCTCCCCTTCCCTTTATTCTTTCTCAGACTTTAAAAGCAATGCGCTGAATTGCAGACTTCTAGCCAACTTCTTGATAGGCTTGTGTAACAATCTGCAGGGTTTTTGTGTGTGTGTGTGTGTTTCCAGGAAACTTGAGTCAAGTAAATCATTATTGAACTGTAGACCTCAGTTAGAGTGGTGGCATGCAGACGTAGCCCTGCCCTTTTTAACTGTTTATTTATTAGATACATATGTTTTATTGTAATTAAAGCCTACGGTTTGGGAGAACCTATTGGGACAAAATAATTAGGTTGTAATGCAGTAGAGAATCAAAACACCCGCTAATATAAGAAAGATGGGGGGGGGGGGAGATACTGTAACTGGGGAAAAAATGTAGGTTATAGATTTTTGGGTAGGTAAATTTTAGCTGCATCCAGTTGCAAATGGTTCTAACTGCGCAATGTTCTCCAGGAGAGTTTCAATTTTATTCCTAGACCTTGAGTATTAAATTGCAGTGCTAATTTAAAATCGGCTGTAACACTTTCAGAAAAGGGGAATCTAAAACAAGTCAGAGATAAATCCATCTAGAGGCTGAGCCCATCATACAGTTGGCATCTGGGATTCAGTTCTGCCCCTTCCATTTGTAGGGGAGGAATAAAAATGTCCGTGCTCGTGATGTTGTAAAGGACTGTGAGTTAAGAAAAGATCTTTCAAAGTGAGGAGAGCCAGTGTGGTCTAGTGGTTAAGACACCTAGGCTAAAAACTGGGAGAGTGGGAATTCTAGTCCCGCCTTAGGCATAAAAGCCGGCTGGGTGACTTTGAGCCAATCAACAGGAAACACTTAGTTCTAGTCCCGCTTTAGGAATGAAAGCCGGTGGGATGACTTTGAGCCAATAACCCGGAGACTGGGAGTTCTAGTCCCGCCTTAGGCATAAAAGCCAGCTGGGTGACTTTGGGCCAATCACCAGGAGATGGTGCGTTAGTCCTGCCTTAGGCATGACAGCCAGTTCAGTGACCTTGGGCCAATCGACAGGAGACTGTGAGTTCTAGTCCCGCCTTAGGCATGAAAGCCGGCTGGGTGACTTTACACCAGTCCCTTTTTCTCAGCCCAGTCCATCTCACAGGGTTGTTGTGGGGGCAGCGATGTTGGATACGTTCGCCCCTTGACTTATTTGTAAACAGAATCAAGGTGGGAAACAAGTACGTGAATAAATGTCTGCATTCCCTCCAATCTCTCTCCCTTGCATCCTAATAGCAGTCATGAAAAAAAAATGAGATATTTCAAAATACCTGCTCCGTGTTGCTGCTTGGCGCTCGGATTTTGAACCTCCCGTAGCTTCCCTGCCCGGTCTCCTGTTTTCCCAAACGGTCTCCCAGTAGCTGTGTGAATGTTACATAGGTTAAGGGCAAACACTTTGACAAAAGTTGTGACCCCACCAGAGAGACATTCCCTTCTGCTCCAGATCCCGGCTATTCAAACACACAAGCTACAGCTGTTGCATTCCATAAATTCATAAATTGTATATATTTGCAACTCCGTCCACCAGCCGCTTAATCATCAAATAGGGCTTTTGGGAGTGACTCTTCCCCCCCCCCTTAAAGAGGTGTTTAATCTGAACAGATTCTGTGATATATATTTTTTTTGACGCCGGTCCTTTTTTGTTCAGCACTATTTGGGAAAAGTTAAAAAGTTGTTGTTTTTCCCCCCGGATCGTATTAAAAAGCTAGGCTGTTGAGTTTTCCAGGGTTTAAAAAATCAAATCAAAAACCAAACATTCCCTGCTCCTATTTGTCACATACAAGTCGTCCTCGATTAACAGTTGGCTTAGTGACCGTTCCAAGTTACAACGGCACTGAAAAAAAGGGACTTGGAAATGTGTTTCACTCTTACGACCGTTGCAGCCTCCCCCACGGTCACGTGATCAGAATTCAGACGCTTGGCAACTGACTCGTACTTATGACGGTTGCAGCGTCCCCCGGGGTCACGTGATCATCCCCTTTTGCGACCTTCCGACATTCCTGAGCCAGCATGAGGGAAACTTTGGCCCCTTCATGAATTGTGGACTTCAACTCCCAGAATTCCTGAGCCAGCATGAGGGAACTATGGCCCCTTCATGACTCGTGGACTTCAACTCCCAGAATTCCTGAGCCAGCTGGCTCAGGAATTCTGGGAGTTGAAGTCCACGAGTCATGAAGGGGCCAAGGTTGCCTACCCCTGGTCTAGAACTACCTCAGGCAATCCTCAACTTACAAGCACTCGTTTAGTGACCATAGTTACAAAGGCACTAAAAAAAAAGTGACCTATGGACCAATCCTTGCATCCCCACAATCACGTGATCAAAATCTGGGCACTTAACATCCAGCCTGTATTTACAATGATTTCACCGTCCCAGCTCAAGTGATGGCTTAACGACCGTTTGATTTACTTAACAATTGCGGTGATTCACTTAACAACCAGGGCACAAAGGGTTGACTCAACCACCTGCTTTGCTTAACAGCAGAAATTCTGGATCCAATTGTGGTTGTAAACCCAAAACAACTTGTAATTGGTATTTACAAAACATGTTGCTCTCCATTGATGGCCCCACGTGTTAATTTGAGAAACCATCATTACCAAAAAAATTTAAAAAAAATATGTCCCTAGAATCAATCTGCTTATAGTATATCTGAGACACAGAGACAGACAGACAGGAAGGAAGGAAGGGACTTAGTATCTTTCCAAACCATTCTCTTGCTTAAAAAAAAAAGAAAATCTTATTTATTCCACACAAACTGAGATGTATGTAGACAGAATGAATGCTGTATATGGATTTGCATGTGGTAATTCCCCACAGTTTATTTTTGGATGCTTTCATGAAGTTGTATATTTTATTATTCGTGTCTCTTGACACATTTTTCATTGATTAGGATGGTTTTATTGATTGCATCAACTCTCTAATTTTGGCGTGGCCCAACAGCGCCTCTTAAACCGTCTGCGAAATTGATCCCAGATTTGAATAAATTGAATTCAGCTTGCTACTCTTCTCCACCCCCAGATTTCAGGTACACTGTGCTATAGGCCAGTTTTTCTCAACCTTGGCAGGTTT